TATCCAACTTCTAAATGCTTCCTCAAACTAACCTAACCTCCTGAACTCCGAATCCTTTCAGCTCAAAGAAGCTTATCGCCAATACTTTCCGATCGGCGCGTTTATGATAGTGCCTATGACAGGACCATTTTTCGAGATGGTGTGTAAGACCACCGATGAGGATCTCAAAAAGAAGGTAGTGCCAGTTGACATCATAACGTTGCGTACACTAAATGTTTGATGGTATACTTCTAGGGTATGGAAATTGTCATGGAGAAAACTGAGTGTCTGCTTGATGACATTTTCCGTTATCACGACCGGAACATGAAACTTGGGAAAGGAGAAAAAGTTGTTTGAAGTGTTATAATGAAGATTTTGTTCATGAATGTTTTATCAATGCTACGAAATTACCGCCCAATGGCCTCCATCCATAGCTGGAAAGAATCTTGGTGTGGCTTCGCACTCCTAACCCGGTAATGCGTATGTAACGGAATACGCAACATGGGGGAAGGGTTTGGGAGTCGTGTCTGACCGTTTCTCCACCTGCCGTGAAGCGCGGTATCTTCGCAATCGCGAGGAGATTCACAGGAAACTGCTGTATAACGTCGCACTGCGCCCCGAAAGTTATAGTTATAACCTATGCACAGTTTGGTGGGAAAGCAGCTAGTAGCCAGCATACTGATGTCTTGGCTGTGTGGAGAGAATCACAACCATCTGCAGAATCGGGCAGGTGCCAAGACGGAAATCAAGGTCATTAGGCTTTTCATGGTGAGGGCATGTCGGCATGGCCTTTTCAGCGGTCGCAGATTCCGTAATTCAATTACAGTTGAGGCGTAGACAGTACCAGGAATGCTTCTCGTCTCCTTCGTAGACCAGAAGAGACCCGTTGACACGACAAGCCACAGCCCTCCCCCTAGAGTTGTGGATGGTCCCAATCCGTCTTCAGAGAATCACTAGCTCTGGGAAACGATTTCAGTACACTGTTGTTGAAGACAGTCCCCGCGCACAAGCAACTGTAGGCGTCCTTCTTTGTACAAGTAGTCCGGTCCTCAGTTTCTAAGATTTTCCCACTTTCGCGGCTTCACAGAAGGCACTGCGGCCCTTATAAGTGGCGGTGCTGACGCTTCCCTAGTTGCACCGCCAATCAAAATTCAAAGGCTTTTCCTGTCACTACAGTTTTACTCCGTGTTTTTTCGGTTTTCTTTCATTGTTAGATATTATCAGCATTGAATAACGCGATGAAACAGCTTGTGAGCCAGAGGCGCAGGACATGCAAGCGCAAGACGAGCAGGCTCGGAGAACTGGTACAGTGTACAACTTACTCCCCTGTAGGCTGCCAGTGGTCCTTACTTAGGATGTTCCATATATTTTTCTTCGGCTTTTTTACCTTCCCTGGGGAGTCATTGAGCTGTTTCTATGTATATGTTTGCAAACGAAGGCCACTATCCACAACAGGCAATTGCGGGATGAGTGGCTGGCGGCATAATCCCTGTATTCCTTAAATTGGCGTGGACAGCTTGCTTCATGCTCCCAGCCGCGTACGTAGGGGAACCGCAGAGGGCGCAGATATAGGGAGCGGAAGCAATGTAGAGCTCCATGCCGCGTAGAAAGAAGCTAGAGAGCAGCGTTACCAAGAGAAAGGCCAATGCCCCAGATACTATTCACAGTGATATCAATTAAATTTTTGTATGGCAGAGGGGACACTCCGAGCTCAGTATGTTAATTCAAAAGTTCCTGTCCATCTCACACTTTCGTGCAGTGGGCAATGAAGCTGATGTCGGGCACTTCGGCCTGGTGAGGGCCGCCAAATGGTGCTCAGCGAAGCTTGTACAGGCAACCTTGTCAAGACCTGTGAATATATGACCAAGGTGGCTCACTCGAACACTTTGCAACTTCACAGGTGTTTACAGGTCTAACCAACGTGCGAGTGTTGGTTTGACATGAAGCTAACAAAAGTAGCTCGCGAAAGTTCCAAATGTCCCCTCCAAACCGAAGTCGTTGATATCGTCGCAATCCGGCAGGGTGGTTTCCCCTCTCTGGTTTTGGATTGAACACGCTCAAACATCTTTTGATTGTGTTTTTGTCTTGAAAAATGACTTGCATAGGCCAAATGTTTGTCTTTTTCGCCTTTGCTCACAGCTGTGGCACTCTTCCTAGGCCCGTCCCGATTGGCTAATTGTCTTCAACAGTGTGAGAGCAATACCTGATCTGAACACCTGCTGGCATACATAATTAATTCCAGAGGATTATCTCCTGAGCCATTTTTCTACTGTGTGAGTTGGAAGGTTCAAATGTCGCACCGATTATTTGGACTCGAGCCAAGCTCTGCTCGACATGTAGATGAGCGCTGCTTCTGGCCTTAATCTTGGTGTTTTGTGATTCAGTGAAGAGAAGATCTCTGCTTTCAAAAAAGCCATGAGAAGTAACGATTCACAGGATTGGATGACCTATAAGCTTCTGTCCGAGAAATTTGACAAATGTCTGTATAAGTTTAATTGTGCTGTTGAGAGGAAAATAGTGGAGTCGCAAAACAAATCCTTTCTTTTCAATTATATTAAAGCTCGGATTTATCCCAGGAGCCACAATGTTCCTCCTTGTTAACACAATGGTTCGCTTGCTTTTACTGATATAGACAAGGCGGAGACTTTGGCTGATGAGTTCCAGAAGGTATATGTAAACCATGATGACGCTCCTACAGGACCTCCTCTTGAGTCCAAGTTTTCCAATATGGAGGAGTTAGACCTAATTAAACGGGATGATATCCTCAAATTCCTTCTTAAGTGGCCCTCCAGCTTCTCTCATACTCCCGACGGGGTACCTTTTGTTTTTATCAAGAAAGTTGCAGCCTATCTTGTTGTGCCACTCGAGCTTTTGTTTAATAGGAGCCTGCTATACGCTGAGGTACCTTCAAGATGGAAGCATTCTTTTGTTTCGCCTCTTCCCAAGAAGCCACCCTACAATAATCCAGGGAACTACAGGCCTATAAGCATTACATTCTGTTTTTTGTAGGCTCCTTGAAAAAATCATCAAAGGAGTAATTGTTAAGCATCCTTGAGATTAATCAGGTCCTGCCCGAGTGCCAACATGGGTTTAGAAAAGGAAGGTCTACGGTCTCCCAAATGCTTATGTCACTTAATGACTGGACATTTGCTTTAGACAAAAAATCCGCTGTCGACATAATATATTTTGATTTTTCTAAAGCGTTCGATAAGGTCTGTCATGAGAAATTGCTGTATAAGTTACAGCATGTGGGTATTCACCCTAAGATTGTTCAGTGGATTCAATCATTTCTATCCGCCCACCTTCCCAGGTTTAGGCATAATAACTCACCTTCTTCTCGCCGTAACATAGTACCAGTGGTGTACCTCAGGGTGGTGTTTTGTCTCCTATACTTTTTAACATCTACACTTTTGAACTTCCCTCTTGCTTGAGAATACCTCAGTTTCCTGCCAGATGTTTGCCGACGATATAAAAGTTTACAAGTCTGTCAAGTCTCCAGAGGATTTCTTGTCAATTCAGAAAGCCATCGATACAGTGCATGAGTGGTCTCTGACATGGGGTCTCCCTATTAGCCTTGATAAGACCAAAGCTTTCCATTTAGGAAAGAGCAATTCCAATAACAAGTATTTTATTTATGGTTCACCTATTCAGGCTGTCTCTGAAGTCAGAGACCTTGGCTTCCTACTTAACAGTAGCCTTGATTTTGGGCCTCACTGCCTCCAAATTGCTGCTAAAGCGGAACGAAGGCTGTTTTTCCTGCTTAAATCTTTGAGAAGCAGGGATCCCCTCGTTCTGATCAGGGCCTACAAAATGTACGTCAGACCTATTTTGGAATATGGGACGTGTGTATTTTTTCCTTATAAGAAGAATGCCATTCAGACCATTGAACGCGTTCAAAACAGTTTCACCAGGAAGGTTTTCATAAGGGCTCTTGGTTACTCCTACAACAGTATTCCTCACGCCATTATTAGAAATAAGATGCTATGCTTGGATTCTCTGAAAAAGCGTAGGTTGAGAAATGATTTGATAACCGTGTACAAAATCACACAGGGTACCATGCTTTTTGCTGCCGCTAAACTCTTCTCCTTTTCTGCCCTCCTCTACTAGAGGTGAGGGCATCAAGCTGCGCTTTAGTAAGGCCAGGATTTCAGTTCGTAGTCACTTCTTCACTCAGCGGGCTGGCGGCGAGTACGCTAAGTTTAGCAAACACATTCCCTCTCCTATTAGTTATTGCTCCTTCAGACGAGAAGTCTCCCATTATCTCAAGGACATCAGCTAGTTGTCTTCTTGGTTTCTTATTGTTCTCCAGTTGCATTCTACCTCAGTTTTTTTCTTATTGCTAGTGCTTTTGATTTGCCTTATAGTAGTGTTCTTTCATCTGAAGTCTCCCGGTTTTTGTTGTTCATTGTTATAATAGTTCACATGCCCATATCGGGCGTGTAATAAATAATAATAAATAATAAAAGTGTAGATCCGATAACTCCATACTTATCCGCAGCAAACCAGACTGCAGACCTTTGGACTATTCTTAACTGCGCTCAGAGTTGACATTTTGGCGCAGTTAGGCTTGGTGGGGGCAAATGGTATTGAACAAAGCTTGTATTGGCCACCTTATGGAGACTTGTAAGCTCCTGTAACGAATCATTGTGCTTAAAGCACTATTTTCTAAGGCAGTGAAAATTGGGCGCTAATAACTTTCGAGGGCCCCCACTGTAAATCTGGGATTAATGTGACCCGTATGCATCCAGAAAGGATAGAGGATAAAGCTTCGCCGTTGATTAATCCCTTTGTGGGATGCGGCACGCATTCTACTTCCATTCAGAATCGTAGTGGCTTATTGAATGCGATGTGGCCTATACAATGACTTGCGGTGGCCAGCCGATGTACAAGTCAGTGTTTTATCCTCCCAGACGAATCTGGTACCAATTTACCGTCCCCGGAGGATGAAGGCTTGGTTGGCTCTGGGCGGCAGCCGATGCTGGATTTGTTCCCCGGACCACGCATATGGTAAGCGTAAGCCATCTGCCACTACACCACCTCCACCGTATAACCGTAAATCGAATTGGTTTGCCCGCATGGGAGCTCTTCTGTTCTTGAGCGAGCGCAGCGTGCTCCCTTTTCCAACCTAGGGCTTCGTTCCTTTTCCAACCTAGGGCTTCATTGCAGCGCCTAACGCAGTAGAGTTGATATAGAACGGCTACAGTGGTGCATGGATATATGAATACACACATGCACTTGTATCTTATGGAGCGGTTATTGGCACGATGCCAACGGGATATTCGTACAAAACAACTTTTCGTCAGTAATATATTAGTCCAGTGTCGTGCACAGCAAAAGCTTTTTCCGCGGGTTTTCAA